TTTCCCTTCATTCCAACTTGTTAACTCCAAGGAGAGACAGTTTGTAGCTCTTGGCCCACTGTTTCCTTCATCTCATGGTCGGAAGCAATGTCAGACACTGGTTGTTTGGTAAATACCTTTAACGTATTAAAGTACTTATTTAGCAATGTACCCAGTCGGTGGGTTTACCCAGGCCAGACACTTCATCCCAGGGGTCTTAACTCTGCTCTTACCTGTAGTGACCTTTGTCAGGAAGTACACTGCAGTCCCTGTCAATAATGTCAGCTCAGGGTCAGCCCCATGGTTAAGGTGGCTGAATTCCATATGGCTGACTGCACTGTTCAAGTCCCAGACCTGGTAACTTGAAGAACACTGTGGGGGGGACCAGCAATTAGCGTAATGGTTATGCTGCTGAACTCCCATGTAGTCGACCAGTTTGAGTCTTGGACCCGGTGGCTTAAACTCACGCCAGGCACGTGTGCGTGCCTGCCCAAGATCCCAAGAGGAGATTGGAGGTTAAGGGATTGCGGTGTGGCCATCCCCCCGGGGGGTGATTTCTCGCTTTCTGTCTCTCTGTCTCTCTCTGTCTGGCTGGCGAGTGCATGCACCCTATAGCAAAAACCTCTCCAAAAAGAAAAAAGATAGTTCCATGTCTTCTGGGCCAACACATTGTTTTCCAATTTTTCAGAGGGTGCATGCACTGACCAGAGACAGAGAGAGAGAGAAAGATAAAGTGAGAAAGCACCCCCATGGAAGATGGTCATGCCATAATTCTCACTCCTCTATTTCTCCGTCCTTTCGGTATTTTGGGCATACATGGATAGGTGCCCACAGTGTTCTTTTTTTTTTTTTTTGAGAGGTTTTTGCTATAGGGCATGTGCGCTCGCTGGAAAGACACGAACCGCAGTTGACTATGTTGGAGTCCAGCGACATAACCATTATGCTAACTGCTGGTCCTGGAACTAACTATCTTAACCATTTTCTCTTTTGAGTAGTAAACTCCAAGTTGAAAACGCAGACGTTTCCCCCAGATGAAAATTGAACAGCATGAATTATTTTAAAATGTATCATGCAATATTAATATACTTGAATAAAATATAATCATAATTCAGAGGATAAGTATATTCTCGAAAACAATTTGGCACATCTGGTACTGGACAGGTCTGCCCAGATGTATCTTGGATCAGGGATCAGTAAATCTTTTCTCTAAAGGGCCTGATAGTGACTGAAGCTTTGTAGCATCTCTTTTGCAGTAAAATAACTTCGTAATTATAGTGTGAAAAGCAGTCACAGACACATAGAAAAGTATGTCTGTGCTCTAATAAAACATTTATGGACACTGACATTTGAATTTCATATTATTTCTCATGTTACAGAATACTCTTTAAAAAGGTAAAAAAAAAAAAAAAAGCATTCTTAGCACATGGGGTGTTCAAAAACAAGGGCTCAGGGCCGGCAGGTGGCATGTTGGTTAAAGGCACTGGACTCCCACATAGGTGACCACGGTTCGAGTCTCAGACCTGGTGGCTTGCTTTCTCACTTTCTCTCTCTCACTTTGTATCTCTCTGGTCAACTTAAAATAAATAAATACAATTAAATAAAATAATTCTTAAAAAAAAAAAAATGACTGGTGGGTTGGCCCAGAAACCATGGTTTACAGACCCTGTTCAAGGGAGCGCTGTCCCTGAGAATTCACTGCAGTGGTGGGCTGCTCTGCGTCTGCAGCCTCCAGTGCTCAGTGAGGCTACTGAACACTGATTGGGACTGTGGCTAGTGTGACGAGGAATGGATTATTTTTTTAAAGAGTCATTTTATTTTACTTTATTTATTTATTTAAATTTGACCAGCAAGAAACAGAATGAGACTGGGGAGAGGGAGAGAGTAAGTTGCCAGGTCCTGGGACTCGAACCACTGTCGGTCATGTAGTAGACCAGGACACTCCTAACCTCCATATCACCTGCCAGCCCTGAGAAATGGAACTTTTGAAATGATAAATAGTGATGTTTAAAAATTTAATTGGAATAATAATAATCTGGAAAAAATAATGAAAAGCTATTGGATGATGATGATTGGGAATTTTAAGCTCTTTGTATTGACTGATATGCATGGTATTCCTTCTGGAAAAAGAAATGTAATACACTGTGAAGTTATGTGATTCAATGTAATATAAACAAGATTAGGTGAAAAACAGGGTAATATTTGTCAGCAAAAACGAATGAATCTTAGCTACACAAATTTTTTAAATTGAATTTCTAATATTTCATGTTTTTCTTCTTTTAGAGAGATTTTTGCTATAGGGCATAAGACACTTGCCAGAGCGACAAAGAGACAGAAAGCGAGAAATCACTCCCCAGGGGGATGACCATGCCGTAATCTCTTCTTCTCCGTTCTCCTCTTGGGATTTTGGGCACATACACACACGCACCTGGTGTGTTTTAAGCCACCCTGCCCAACTTGATCCGCACTCAACTACATGGGAGTCCAGCGACGTAACCATTACGCCATCTGCTGGTCCCAGTGTCATTTCTTTTTTTGTGTGTGTGTGTGTGGGGGGAAGGTTTTTGCTCTAGGGTGCGTGCGCTTGCCAGAAAGACAGAGAGAGACAGAGAGACAGAAAGTGAGAAAACACGCCCCAGGGGGCATGGTCACCCCCCAGGGGGCATGGCCACGCTGCAATCCCTTCTCCTCCATTCTCCTCTCAGGATCTTGGGCACACACGCGACTGGTGTGAGTTTAAGCCACCGGGTCCAGGACTTGAACCGCGGTCGACTACATGGGAATCCAGAGACATAGCCATTACGCTAACTGCTGGTCCCTCATTTCATTTTAATGTGAATAGTAGTTTCAGTGTTAACAGGCCCAGGTGGCTAGCGGCTCCCGGATCGGGCAGCAGGGATCTGCAGAGGCTCTTGTGCGTGCAGCAGGAAGCACAGACGGCAGTATTCATGACAGCATTATCACACTTGGTAGAACACCGGAGCTGTGGCACACACAGTGGAAAATGGGGATCGCCGTAGTGAGCATCTGTCAAGTGCTTTCTTCACACCAAGAGTGTTTCAAGCACTTTACATATTGAACTCTTTGGATTCTCTTAGGTAATAGTGAAGTGAAAAATAAGGGTAATATTTGTCAACAAAAATGAATGAATCTTAGCTACACAAAGTGAGTGCAAGTCACAAGCACTGTATCAGATGATGCCATTTATAAAACCGTAAAAACAAGCAAAATGAAACTATGTTCTGGAGAGATGTTTGGCTAAACCATTGAAAAAGCAGGGACTTGAAGCTGTGTTACTTTGAGGGGAGACAAGGTGAGCAGGGACGCCGTATTTGAGGGCCAGCGGGACGTGGGGCCTTGCATATTCTGCTCCTCTGCAGTAGTATGTGTATGTGGGGGTGGCGGGAGTCGGCAGGACTTGTTCTAGTTTCATGGAACAGTGTTTTCATGCCGTACAAAGAGTGGTCATTGTAGCATCCCTCCTGTTCTTTTTGAATCACATTTAAGGGATGCTGTTAACCAGAGGGGCTTGTTTGTTATCTCAGTTTGGTACTTGAGAGTAGAAAACATTGTTATTTATTCAGTTCAAGAACAAAGGGTTGAAACATTTTGTTACACATTTTTATTTCACTTAGTCCAATGATGAGTTGAATGTTACCTGAATCTAGCTGAGCAAATTTAGCTTGAAAATGAGAATCTGAAAACTGTAACGTAACAAGTAGGTTTACTTAATTATTGTCGTTGAAGTGTTCACTGAAAGAAAAATCCTAGTGACACCTGAGGGGCTAGGAAACATAGCAGCATCTGTGACTTATCAATAGTATAACTTCAAAGTTTTGCAGTGATTCATGGTAAGTTGGATTCAAAGTGACATTTTGTCACTGAGGATCCAGTTTCGCTATAGTAATGCTAGTAGCTGACTACTGAGCTTATTGTTAAAGTGTATGTCAAGCTTTTCTATATAATGTGTGCATCTTTGACTTTTTTCCTTATTGTTCAGTCTTCATTCTTTCCTGTATTACTGACATGGGTTTATCTTTTCTCCCTTTAGAGAGTTTTGAGGTGACAGTCACCAAAGAAGGTGATAAAGGGTTCTTTCTATCCCTCTTATCAATATTAACCCACTAACTTTGTTTTTAAAATTGGGAATCAGCCCTTAAACAGAAGAAACTGTCATGCTTTTTTACCCCTGTTTATTCTACTTTGTTTCTATTGTAAAATATATTGATGGAAATTGTATGTAACCAGACCCCTGGTTAGAAATATCTGGAAATCAGACATCCATTTGAACTGTATGGATAATCCTGTACATTTTTGTTTAATTGAACATCAGAGATCTGCTTGGTAACAATTGTCTATGAGTTGGAATTATGGAACAGTTCAGCTTTATTTTCATGTGAAATGTTTCGTGATGTTTTATATATGCATCAAAACATTTTTGATCTCCTACGGGCAAGAATGGAAACGGATTTTTGTCTCCTAAGAGATGTAGTTACGTTCCCAGGCTGGCGTCTTTTTCAGGTTTGGTAGAATAAAGTTCGAAACAAAGGAAAGTCTAGCAAATGCCTCTCCGTAGTAGAAATGGCACCTTACTCGTGGAGGATAGCTGTTGAAATGGATGCCTGAAAAGTTGGTATTTCTACCTTTCTCATTTAGTAGTTTGTTTTGATTCCCTAATTTTAGCCAGGCTTATTGCACAGGAAGACTTGTTTCTTTTGATTTTTTTTTTTTTTGACAGAATTTCTGTAATTACGGTGCTGATCCTATATCTCATGCTTCTTCCTCTCTCAACACGTAATAACTGCGTTTCAGCTTCTCTCTGGGTCAAATCAAACAGCTGCCCGGCTCTCCCAGTAGCTGGGGCAGCAGGGTGTTCTCAGGCTGTGGCTGTTTGCTAATGAGACTCCTTTTACCCTCGAGCTGTCTTAAGTGCTCCTGTGGAATGCCTGTCTATATTTTCTCTTTCTCTCTTTTGTATTCCTGCATGAATGGATGCAAAGTAAACAAGTTGCTTGGAAAGCCAGAACATGCTTCTTTTTACTAAAGCCCCAGAACTCACCCATGTTAAAAAGCACAGTGCCCCCTGCTTTGTCCACAGACCCTCAAACCCCTGGCTGCCGAATTGTTGTCATTTATTTTCTGTGGGGGTGGGTCCTGGGGTTGTGGAAGGCTTGTGCAGAGGACATTCTAACCCATTCTGCTTTGACTTCTCAGGTGAGATTTGTGGATTTAAAATCCATGGGCAGAATGTCCCCTTTGACGCAGTGGTAGTGGATAAATCCACTGGTGAGGGAATAATTCGCTCAAAAGAAAAACTGGACTGTGAGCTGCAGAAAGACTACACGTTCACCATCCAGGCCTATGATTGCGGGAAGGGACCCGATGGCACCAACGTGAAAAAGTCTCATAAGTAAGCAACTGGACAAAGCGCACGTAACCCCTGCGTAAATGTGTGTGTACAAGGAAATACTGAGGGTCCCTGTCGACTTTTCCCCAAGACTTTCTGAGTGTTTGAAATATGAGGCAGAAGGTAGTTCTTAGGTGCCCATAATTAAGTTGGGGGGAAAAAATAGAAAGAAAAAGAAAAAATTGAGGGCTTGCAGAAGGAAGGGAAGGAAAAGGGGGAGTTTCGTCCTTTACAGGGTCTCCCCGTGACACCATCATCCTGCCCCAGCCTCTCAGTGAGGACCTCAGGTACATGCCACCATGCCTGGCCTGTTTAGGTTGGCCAGGAACGGAACCTGGGCCTCCCACGTTGCCTCAGCTCGCCCATTGCACCACCACAGCTGGGTAACATGCATACTGTGGGCAGGAGTCATGCCTGCTTGTATGCAGTTCCTACAAGAACCTTGTAGGTAGTCCCTACAAAAGCCTGGTGCATGTTACATTTTGAATTAACGAATGAATAATTTTATTCCATGAAAAACTTTGTTTAAAAAAAAACAACTAAGGGCCCAGCCAGTAGTATGATACTTAAGGTAGTTAGATCCCACGTGGCCAACTGCAGTTCAAGTCCCAGATGTTGTGGCTTGAAAAGTCTGAGTATGTGTGTGCTCAAAATCCCAAACAGAGGGAAAACAAAGGAAAGGGGATTGCTGCATGGCCATTCCCCCCATGGCGGGGGGGGGGGGGGGGTGCTTCCTCATTTTCTCTTTTTTCTTTCTGTCTCTCTATAATGAGTACATATGCCTTCTAGCAAATTAAAAGAGAAAAGAAGGAAGGAAGAAAAAACGAAGGAGAGAGGGGGGAGACAAAAAGAGGTCCCTATATTGAAAATGTAAAAAGCTCACTTTTTCTGAGGATGATAATTTTGTTGTTCTCTTTCTCTTTTACTGTAAATTCCAAGGGCACGCAGTTCATCACTGCTGGTGCAAATGAACTGCCTTATTCCATATCCTCAGTACGTTCAGCTGTTTGCTGCTGGTATAGCAGAGAGGACTATCAGTAAGACATGGGCTTAGCATTCTAGTCTTTTCTTTCCCACTCACTAGCCCTTTGACATGAGGCAGATTTAACCTTGTTAAGTGTCAGTTTGACCTGGCCCATCTACCAAGGAAAGAGAGGTATGTGGGTGAGATGGTATCATGTAACTATTGGGAGGGTCCAACCAGACGGCATTTGTACGTGGAGGCTCTTGGTGACTTGTGGGGCTGATGCATGGCAGTGAGTCACTCCACATCTTACACAGCGTAACACGGGTTGAGCATCCTAAGTCTACAGATCCCAAATATGAGATGCTCCAAAATTTGAAACTTTTTGAGCATCGGTATGATGCCACACGTGGAAAATTTCATACTTGATCTTGTGATGGGTCATAGATGAAATGCAGTATGAAAATATTATATAAAAATGACCTTCATGGGGGCCATATGGTGGCAAAGCAGTCTTTAGAGCAGTCCCACAGGGGGATTCCCCGTTCAAGTCCAGAGACCTCCCTGAGGAAGCTGGGTACATTCTTGCCCGTGGTCTGGAGCTGGCAGGAGGCTAGGGATGAATTGTGGCTATAAGACTGTTGGAGGTGCCATCTGCGTCTCTGTCTCTCTCACACATGGAAGAAATTAATAAATTTTAAAAAAAGTACATTCAGACTGTGTATATAAGGTATATGTGAAACATAAATGGATTTGTGTTTATAATTCACCCTATCCCCAAGATACCTCGTTATGTATATGTAGATACTCTAAAACCTAGAAATGCTCTGGTCCCAAGCATTTACTTGGGATACTCAACCTGTGTTTGTTTTCCTTGAAAAAGATCATCTTTTAACCAAAGACCTTCTCTCTCTCTTTTTTTTTATATATATTTTATTTATTTATTTTCTTTTTTACATTTTTAAAAATCCATTCAATCACATTATTTAGCTTACAAGGTGATCATTTCAATATGTGAACATTTCTCCCCGGTCCAGTTGATCAAAATATAACAATACTACCTCCCTGTCCCAACAATGCTGTCTCCGTATCCCTCCTCCAAATGTTTTTCCCCAGGCCCCACTCCTCCACACACACCACATCTGGCATTCACACCCATCTCTTATGTTTGCACATCCTTTAACCTGTCAGTTTCAGTTATAGAGTGCGGACACTCGGTATATATTAATTGGGGACATACAGTGTCTCTCCTTGATAGCCTGGCTTACTTCACTCAGCAGTAAATCTGAGTATTCTTCACTTTCTGTCAAAAACCAGGGTTTTGTTGTTTTTTTATGGCTGAATAGTATTCCATAGAATATATGTGCCACAGTTTTTCAATCCATTCATCCGTACAGGGGCATTTGGGTTGGTTCCATGTCTTAGCAATCGTGAAAAGTGCCACAATAAACATCGATGTGCAAGCACTTTTCCAATGAAGACTTCTTCTGTCCTTTGGGTAGATGCCAAGGAGTGGGATTCCAAAGACCCTCTCTGATTCAGATGTAGGTCCTGATCAATAACTCTTGAAACTTAACAGCTTTCTTTATTAGAAGCCTGGACCAAGGACTTGTTAGTTTCCTTGATAACCAAGCTGGGTAGTTATTTCTCAGGAGGACTCTGGACACGACATAGATTTAGAAATACAGTCAAGGCAGAAAGTAGCAGCAAGAGGTTCTTCTTCCTGAGCCCCTTCATTTGTTGAATCAGTGTCCCAGTGATGGATTACCGATGGTCTCTCCCCATTGCTAGAAATTGGACAGAATTTAGTTGTCATATCTAACATTCCTATTGAGAGTATTTCTTTCTTTTTCTTCCCTTGGCTCTCTCTCTTTTTTTTTTCCCTAGATTTTGCAACAAAATATCTTTCAGTGATTAAAGAACACATATATGATAATAATTTTTCTCCTTTCTTCATGTGCTATTTCATATTGTCAAAGAAAACCCCAAGTCTGTTTTACATTATTACATTTTTACCAACTGCCTTATTCTTAATACTTGGAGGAATCAACCCAAATCCCTATGTTTTTTCTGTTGTCTCCACACTGAATTAAAAACAATAATTTGTTTCAATTTTAACTGTATGAATGTCACAAAACAAGGTTATCAGAAAAAGGAAATTTAAAAATAGGGCAAAATTGGTGTCCTTTTAGTAAAAAACAAAACCCCAAACAAGACAAAAACCATCTTGTTTCCTCCCCCATTGTCCAGAGCAACTGTCCACATCCAGGTGAACGATGTGAACGAGTATGCACCTGTGTTCAAGGAGAAGTCCTACAAGGCGACGGTCGTGGAAGGGAAGCAGTACGACAGCATCCTGAGAGTGGAGGCCGTGGACGCAGACTGCTCCCCTCAGTTCAGCCAGATCTGCAGCTATGAGATCGTCACTCCAGACGTGCCGTTTACTGTTGACAAAGATGGTAAGAGTGAGGAGCATGTCCTCCTGAGCTAGGGGAAGCGGTCTCTGGACTCAGAGTTCCTTCTAACCCAGCTTCAAACCCAAGTGCATATTGTTTGACAGAACTTCAGTGAAACTCACAGATTTAGAGACCCAACTCAGTGTGTGTTTCTTTCACATTTCTTTTTATTTTTTTGGAGAGGTTTTTTGCTATAGGGCGCGTGCGCTCGCCAGATAGACAGAGAGAGACATAGAGACAGAAAGCGAGAAATCACCCCCCAGGGGGGATGGTCACGCCGCAATCCCTTCTCCTCCATTCTCCTCTCAGGATCTTGGGCACGCACGCACATGCGCCCGGCGTGAGTTTTAAGCCACCGGGTCCGGGATGCAAACCACGGTCGACTATGTGGGAGTCCAGCAACATAGCCATTACGCCAACTGCTGGTTCCCCACATTTAAGTTTTCACTCTGTCCCCCAACAGCTTCTTGTTTAGAACCTATGAGTTTAGTCTTGTGTTCTTTTCTCTTTTTTTGGAGAGGTTTTTGCTATAGGGCACGTGCCCTTGCCAGACAGACAGAGAGAGAGAGCCAGAACGCGAGAAATCACCCCCCCAGGGGGGATGGTCACGCCGCAGTCCCTTCTCCTCCATTCTCCTCTCGGGATCTTGGGCACGCACGTACACGTGCCCGGCTTGAGTTTTAAACCACCGGGTCTGGGACTTGAACCGCGGTCGACTACGTGGTAATCCAGTGACATAGCCATTTCGCTAACTGCTGGTCCCAAGTCTTGTGTTCTTTTCTTTACTACCAAAAATCAAGTACCCATCCCTCAGCAGTATAGTTTTTATTTCTTTAGTCTTCTTACATTTCAGTCCACATGCATCTGAATGAAACTGACCTTAGTCTCATTTTCTGTTTTGCATTAAATTTGAATGTTCTGCCTTCTCTAGGATGAGCGTTTATATCTTACTGCCACTGCCAGGCCCCCACCATCCTTAGTAATTGAACAGCAGTGACTCACTTGAGAGCTTAGCTTCTTTATGAGAATATAGCTTCTTAATGATAATGTGATGTCTCCACTGTTAATTAATGCACAGTCCAGAATCTTTAATAGGATTATGGACATTGCAGAGACCAGTAGATGGCATAATGGTTACATTGTTGGGCTCCCATGTAGTTGACCACAGTTCAAGTCCTGGACCTGGAGGCTTGAAATTCACATTAGGCATGTGTGCGTGCATGTCCAAAATCCCAAGAGGAGAGTGGAGAAGGGGTTGTGGTATGGCTGTTCCCCCGGGTGGGAGGTGAATTCTCTCTTTCTGTCTCTCTGCCCCTTGGTGAGCACACGCTTCCTATAGCAAAAATCGCTCTCTGAAACAACAACAGGAAAGGATTATGAGGGACCAGCAGTTAGTGTAATGGCTATGTCGCTGGACTCCCATGTAATTGACCGTGGTTCGCGTCCTGGACCTGGTGGCTTAAAACTCACGCCGAGTGCATGTGCATGTGTGCCCAAGATCCCGAGAGGAGAATGGAGGAGAAGGGATTGTGGCGTGGCCATCCCCCCTGGGGGGTGATTTCTTGCTTTCTGTCTCTATGTCTCTCTCCATCTGTCTGGCGAGTACACGCGCCCTATGGCAAAAACCTCTCCAAAAAAAGGAAAGAAAGAAAGGATTATGGACATTGCAGACACTTTCCAGGTTCTAGGTGGGTGGGACTCTCTCTCTCTACCCACCCCCACCGTTTGAACAAAGTAAGTCCTTTAGCAATAAGTAGTTGGTATATCTGGGTCTTGTATTTGATATTTGAGGCTCTTGAGTTATTTTGTTATTTTTAGTCTCTTCTGTGTAACCTGTTCAGTCTTACAGTTAATATAAATCAAATGTAACTCGGAGTAACTGGAAGCTGAGTTGTGTGTGCTCATCTCTTCTGGTTAAATATTTCAAGGTGGACTTGGGGTGTGTGCTAGCTCAGGTGAGACCAGATGAGTGTGCATTATCTCAAGTGCAAGTTTACTTCTGTGTCAGTCTTTACGAGACCTAATGCGCACGTGTGTTGTGTTTCAGCACAGGCCGAGTAAAACAGCATGGGTTTGGGTTCTCACTGTTGTTATTTTCCTCTGTAAGGTTATATAAAAAACACAGAGAAGTTAAACTACGGGAAAGAACATCAGTATAAGCTGAGTGTCACTGCCTATGACTGTGGAAAGAAAAGAGCCACAGAAGATGTTTTGGTGAAGATCAGCATCAAGCCCACTTGCACCCCTGGGTGGCAAGGTGAGCCTTACTGTCTCCTCTGCCCTCACAGCTGTCCTTAAAACTCGTGTACCTCAGAGCCCTAAAGTGAGCTTTCCTTCTTCCTCCAACACCAACCTGTGGGCCAACACAGGATGGAACAACAGGATTGAGTATGAACCTGGCACGGGTGCTTTGGCCGTCTTCCCAAATATCCACCTGGAGACGTGTGATGAACCAGTTGCCTCAGTGCAGGCCACAGTGGAGCTGGAGACCAGCCACATCGGGAAAGGCTGTGACCGAGATACCTACTCTGAGAAGTCCCTGCACCGGCTCTGCGGTAAGGACTCTGGCAGGCTTTTTTTTTTTTGTAAAGAGAGATTTTTGCTATCGGGTACATGCACTCACCAGAGAGACAGAAAGCAAAAAATCATCCCCCAGGGAGGATGACTATGCCACAATCTATTCTCCTCTTGGGATTTTGGGCATGTACGCACATGCAACCTGCATGACTTTTAAGCCATCGGATTCAGGACTTGGACCACGGTTGACTACATGGGAGTCCAGTGATGTAACCATTACACCACTTGCTGGTCCCTCTGGCAGTCTTCAGGGAAGGAAAGAGACCCTCACACCTGGAAATGTTTGTGTGTATGGATGTTGGTGATTATAAACTAACAGACACTCTAAATTTCTGAAATGACTTGCCACCTTCTGGCTAATTATCATACTGGATCAGTTTCAGAGAGGAAAGAGTTCATAAACTCTAAAAAATCTATTCAAAATGTGTTTTTATGTGAGAACCATTGATTTGGAGAAAGTAACATATGTTGAGAATCATCCAGATAGGGTTGTAAGTGGAGTGAGTTTTATGTAAAATGAGGTATTTTAGGTGTGCTTGTGGCATGGTGGTTAAGGTAACTGTATCCCACATGGCCAACTGCATGGGTCCCAGACCCAACAGCTTGGGCACGTGTTTAAAAAGAAAGAAGGGAAAAATGGAGTATTTAAGGACTAAAAAACAAAAAAAAACAAAAAAACCCACATACACAAAAACTAATGCAGTAGCTTTTGGCAAACACGAATTTGAATTCAAAACTAAGAGTACCTACATCTAATTTCTTTTTTAGAATTATTTTATTTAACTTTACTTATTAATTTAAATTTGACCAGAGAGGGACAGAATTAGAGAGAGAGAGAAGGAAAGTGAGAAAGCAAGCCACCAGGTCTGGGACTTGAACTGTGGTCGGCCATGTGGGAGTCCAGCACCCTTAACCACCAGGCCACCTACCAGCCCCGTCTATATCAAATTTATAGTCCTAGGAGACTTTATGTATTACAAACATTGTGTGGAAAAGTTGAGATGCAGAGTGATTGGGAATCTGACCACAAGACTAACTCTCTGTCCTTACCATCGGTTGTTGATTTTCTCCTGGTTTATCTAGATGAGGAGGAGATGACCTATAGGTTCCTCTGGCAGAAGATGCTGAGAGAAGAACGTTTTACTTGACCAGCGATAAAATACACTACTTTACGTGGCCTCTTCATGATTGCTAGGGTCTTTTGTGTTTTAAGAGCTGCTTGGAAACAGCTTTGCAGGGAGCATTTTCATAAACTGACCTTTCTTTTTACTAGCCTGATAACAACCATTTAGGCAACTGATTTTCTTAATAATTGAAAATTGTTACATGATAAATAAGCAAAAGAAGCAAACTGCATTGTACTGGCTCGTCCTGATGACGAATATACTTACTGGGATGTTCTGTGACCCTTGAGTCCAGGTATTCATAATCATGGACCCAGATGCATGTAGGGTAAAGGGTCTGCAGCATGTTCTGTTCTTTTCTAATCTGTGCGTGTAAGTATAATGTATATTTTTTCTATTTTTTTAATTTCAGAAGCATATTTTTTAAAATTAAAGTCATTGAAGAACATTTGATTCCCTATCATTTCCATTTTCTTTGTTCAAGTGTCTCTTTTCTGGATCTCTTGAGTTTCTTTATACACCTTCTCTGCTCTTTTGCTCAAATAATGAAGGACACACATCAAAGCTTTTCTCCTCTGAAGCTTATGGCCTGGATGAGAAAGCAATTCCAGGCATAGTCTGGAGTATCTGATTAAATATTGCCGCCATTTTCTCTTCTGGCTCATCAACATTTTTCTCTTTTTTTTTTTTTTTAATTATTTATTTCGAGCCAGCAGGTGGTGTGGTGGTTAAGAGTGCTGGACTCTCACATGGTTGACTGCGGTTCAAGTCCCGGACCTGGCAGCTTTCTCTCTCTTTCTCTGTCTCTCTCTTTCTCCTTCCCTGGTCAAATTAAAAATAAAGTTAATTAATTATTTTAAAGATTATTTATTTATTTCCTTTCATTTGTTATTGTTGTTATTTTTAATTTGACCAGATAGAAAGGGAAAG